AAAAAAAAAAAAAAAAAAAAAAAAAAAGTTAGTCAAGAGAATTAATCCTTAGTTACAGGGAATAGTCTAGGAGAAGAGTTCCACGGTAAGGAAGGGTCACAGGCGTTTCGCCTGATTTGCTCAATTTTTCCTCTTGTTTGTTTGTCCTTTAGTCCAGTTTCGAGTTCTTTGGAAGTTGCAGATAAAGGGACGCTGGACCGGTTTCCAGCTGAAGCCTAATCTGGGTAATGGCCCCAACACTACCCGGGTTGAGATGTTGCAGAATTCCCGGCCTCATTGTTGTCATATAGTAAAACTTCAACTTTGACTCGGTAACTATGGTTACATTGCTGTCCTTTTCGGCGTCCTACATAATGTTTTTTTGGGGGGGGGAAGTTTTGGCTGCTGCTATACTTAATATGGATGTTTTGTCCTGTGACCTGTATGTGCAGCAATAACACTGCAAGGAGAGCCTGCAGATGAAATGTATATTATCCGCAGTGGGCATGTCAGGGTAAGCTGAGTGTATGTTGAGAACCCATATGGCATATGCCCGCGATGGCTTTAACAGAAAGGTCATGAAATGGATGGAGGGAATAGACTACTTTTATGACATTCAAGTCATTGGTTAGGCACCGAAAGCATCCATCCTGCAACAGTCCATCCATACATACATACCATGGTAACCGTGGACCTGCACACCGGACACTTCCGGACTGTACTCAGGACGAGTGTCTGGACCAGTCCCGACTGTCCGGTGATCCGGACCCCACCGGACATCCGGACATTACCGGACCTGGACAGTCCGGACTGGTGTCAGGGGGGCAAAAATGTCTGGACCAAAAAAAAAAAAAAAAAAAAGAAGGGGGGTTGGGGGGGTTTGGCAGGCACTCACCTTTTTGCACTTCGTAGTTCAGGCAGCAGAGCACCTGTCCTGCAGCAAATCAACAAGCACATTCAACAAGCAGACATGCAGATGCAATGAATTGCAGTGTTATGCGGGCTGTACGCTACTTCTATTTGCAGTGTTATGCGGGCTGTACACTACTTCTATTTGCAGTGTTATGCGGGCTGTACACTACTTCTATCTGCTTTTGTCTGGTTTTGACTCGTTTGAGCTCTCGTGGACTTGATCCCATGACCTGTACCATGGTTGTGTGTTTCTTTGTGTGTGTGAGCTTTCCTGGGCAGAGGCTGGGCTCGATCCCTAGGTGTGATTGTGAGAGTCTCTGTAAGTGAGTCGTAGAACCACTGGGCCTCTCTGTTTTGTCCTTTTCTGCCCTTGTGTTGTAGGTCGTTTCTGTCCTTCCCTTTTGTCCATTTTAGGTCTAGATCAGGTCCTAGGCTGTAGGCTGTCGTTCCTAGGCTGTATGCTGTCGAGTCAGTGGAAGCAGGAGTCCACAAAAGTGTTGAAGGCCGAGGAAACCGGGTTCTTTTTCGTTATGCTTTTCACGAAGTGCTGCCGTGGAGTGGGCTGAACGCTGGTGCCCTAATTTCATCTTACAAGGGCGCCGTCATCATGAGGGAGCTGACAGCCATAGCTGGGCTGGGCACCTCTGCTAGGTGGCAGTGCATGGGCGCAGGGCCCGGAGTGCTGTTGGGCACCTCCTCACTGCTGTGCCGTGTTGGGTTTACTTCAGCTGCCGTCGAAGCTGCTCTTCAATGAGGTCTTCTTCGAGAGTGGCAGGCTCCATCTTCATCGTGCTGGAGCTCATCCTACTCTCCCCTGTTGAGTGGACACTTCATCTGCAGTGGGCATCATGGTTGGGCTGCTGAGTGTCGTGTTAGGTTCAGGAGGGTTGGGGCTGTTGGGTTGGGCGTTGTGTCGCGCCATAGCTAGAGCTTGGTTGGAGGGAGGAAGAAGAAGACTCCCAGATACTTCTGAAGGCATCCTAGCAGACATGAACTCTACGGGTCTATAACCATTGCCATCGTCTTGCTGCAAAACAGCACCTATGCCGTACTGCCTGGCGTCCGTAGTGACGACAAAGAGTAGGGACGGATCGGCCACCTTAAGGACCGGGTACTCTATCAATGCCTACTTCAATTTCCTCATGGCAGACGTGCAGTCCTTATCCCACTTCCAGATGGTTTCTTTCCTCAATAATCTGCAAAGGGGCGCAGCGATAGTGGAGAAGTTCCTCACGAACTTCCTATAGTAGTTGGCTAGGCCCAAGAATGACCGCAACTCTGTCAACGTATGCGGTGTGGGCCAATCTCTAATCGCTGTGATTTTGCTGTCTTCTGGCTTGACGCCATCCCCGTCGAGGACGTGGCCTAGATACAACACTTGGGTCTTCACCCATTCGCACTTCTTGGCATTGATCTTGAGGTTAGCTTCTCTCAGCTTCTCCAAGACCTGCAGGAGATGACCCTGATGCTCTTGGAGGGTCTTACTAAACACTAAAATATCATCTAAGTAGACAACAACAAATCTATCTAACCATGGCCTAAACAAGTCGTTCATACAGCGCTGGAACGTTGCTGGCGCATTGGTCAGTCCAAAGGGCATCACTATGAACTCATAGTGCCYATATCTAGTCCGGAAAGTTGTCTYATACTGATCATCAGGATGTACCTCTATCTGATGATACCCGGACTTCAAATCTATCTTAGAAAAGTACTTGGCCCCCTGCACTCTATCTAGGAGATCATCTATCCTATGCAGTGGCTCATCATTCTTCACTGTGATAGCATTCAGACCTCTATAGTCTATACACATTCTCAACTCTCCCTCTTTCTTGGGGACAAAGAGAACAGGTGCTCCAAATGGAGACGAACTGGGTCTAATCCAACCCTTCTCAAGGAGCTCGTCTAGCTGCTTGCGAAGCTCCTCTAACTCCCGTGGGGACATCCTGTACACAACGCCCTTAGGAGTTCTACTGCCAGGCTCTATCTCAATACGATGCTGGATGGGCCGCGGTACTACACCTATCGGCGGCTCAACTAGATCTTTAAACTCTTCCAGCAGCTTGGCAATAGCAGGGTCTATAGGCTTTTCCTCATTAGGCTCAGTCACTGGCCTAACATGGGCAACAAAGACCTGTTCCTCCAGTTGCTCCTTTTTCACTAATCTTGCGAACGCAGGAGCACTAAGACAGCAATGTGCCAAGGGGTTCTCTACTCCTGACACATGAAATAGGCGGGCAGTCTTAGCCTCGCCTGAAGGACTAGGGAGCCTACACTCGTGCTCCTTTAAATGGAGTGTGGCCCCGGCTGCCTCTCCCCAATCCATTCCCAGGACGATATCGAATGGGAGGCTGTCTTCTATGACGCGAGTCAGGGAGTGGAGGACCTTCTCCACTTTCCCATCTTTCTCTAGGCGGAAATACGCCTGGACTCCCTCTACATAATCCTCTACAACCATTGTACGGTTGTCTACGAGGAAAATAACTATGGGGTCTGCTAGTTTCTGGACTTTAAGCCCCAACTTCAACTTCTGCAGCGCTTTCTTACTAATATAGCTGCGGGTGGCCCCTGAATCTACTAGGGCCCCTACTCTACCTCTAAAAATCTCGACATCTACTAATATGAGTTGTCCTTTCTATTCCTTTTTCATCTTGGCCCAGGCGGGCATCCTCTCCTTTAATTCCTCAGCCACGCCTGGGAGGGAGGTGTCTAAAGAGACCCTAACACAAGCAGTCTCTGGACAGCTACTTAGACACCGGCCTGCAACCTTTTTCATAGGCTCATGTGGTGTGGGAGTCTCCTACCGGCTAGCGCTATCTTTCCCACATGGCCTAATGGTAGGGGCAGTTGTTGCCCCTACCGGCGGCTGCCGTTTGACCCTTGAGCAGCTGATCGGGCCTCCCTATACATAGGACAATATTTAATAATGTGGCCCGGGTCACCGTAACAAATGCACTGGCCCCGGTCCACATGCTGTTGTCATAAGCCCTTGTCCAGACCCAAATCTTCCCAAGGCTTACCCTGCGGTAGCCCTGGGTGCCATCCACCTCTCCTATAAGGAGACCTATTCCCAAAACGGTTTTGCGGGGGACCTTGACCCCTGCCTCCCACTTGGCGGCTCCCTCCTCTGCCGCCAAACCCCTGATCGCCCTGAAATCGGCCCCCTGAGGCCCGACCCCCTTGGCCCTGGCCTCGTCCTCCTCCTTGCAGCCTCCCTCCAACCGCGACAGCAGCATAAGTTCTCCCCTGACTTACCCCACTGTCCTCATCCTCTAATCCCCACTCGATCTGTTCGTAGGGGATCTCATCAACACTACCTTTGTCTAAAGTAAGGACAAGGCTATCCTTGGTCTTAACCTGCCTTGAAATAGTGCGACCCTTCCACTTCTTTCCTTTGTCCGGGTCTTTGTGCCAGAAAGTGGAAACTGACACAGACTTTGCCTCAAAGGCCACCACTTCCCTGCTGAGTGCATCATACGTCATAGCAGGATCTTGGCTCTTTGCAAAGAAGTGGCCACGCAGCAATTCGGGCATGGCCCTGTAGAAGAGGTTGACCAACTGGGTCTCTGTGACCCTGTGGTCAGGAACAACTACCCATTCGTCCATAACACCCTGAAGTGCCCTGGCACTCTTCCATTGACGAGAATGGATGGTCTGAAGCCTATCTGAGGCTTTAACACTGCAGGCGACATCAGCAAATCGCTCGCGCAACAACTTCATGAAATCTATGAGGAGGGTGAACGAAGAATAGGCAACTGCATCATCGTTGCAGTTGGCAGAGCGGACTAGGGACCTCGCGAAACTGGCTGCCTCATCTCTGAGCGCATAAATGGCTATTAACACGTGCTGATCTGGGGAGACCTGCTGCAAGTGCACATAGGTTTACCAATTGTCAAAGTTTTCTTCCCTCTTTCCACTGTAGGAATCGGGGAACTTGACTTTGACAGGCTCCCTACGAGGACGTGCCTCTTCCTCCTTGGGAGTTGTCGCCTTGACGCCTTCAATGGCGCCAACGCAGAATCGTTTGGTCTTCTCGAGGCGATGGTTCACCTCAACTGCGCCTACCAGTTCGCGGGCAAAATCTCGAAATCCCATTCGCATCGAGCGCACAGCCATGTCCTGACTTCTACTAAACTCATATTGTTCCTCTTGTACTCGGGCCAAGCGCTCGACACTTTGGGCAATGATTTCTACCTTTCGTTCGAGGTCTACCTGAGGGGTCAACTGTAGACTTAGTTTCTGCACCTCCTCTAACTCCTTGACCGCCTCACTTGCCGCATCCACCCTCTTCTTCTTCTCTCTCATCATCCTTAACTTCCACTCCATTCTCTTCTCATCTTCCATTGCCTGCCGCTGCAAAGCATCTCTTTCTGCATCCCATTCCTTCATGGCGGCCTCCTGCTCGTCCTTGGGGATATACATGGCTACTTCCTCCTCTTCTCCCAAAGATAAGTTGGCAACCCACTCTAAAATCCTCTTCTCCATCTCTTCATTTTTGCTGCCACTGTACTTCCCTCGTTGCTCTCTCCTCCTTTCCAGTGGTTGTTCATCTTCCTCCTCTTCCTCTTCCACCTCCTTTAGTTTCTCTTCCTCTTCTTTCTTTAATCTTTCCTTTTCTCTGGCCATCTCCTCCTCTATCTTTTTCAACTTGGCCGCCTGCACCTCCTGTAGGGCCTTCTTCTTGGCCTCTTTCTTCTCTTTCCTTTCCCTCAAAATGGCGGCCATCTTCTCCTCCTCTTCCTTCGTATAGGGCTTGGTGGAGGCACCACCCCTGGTATCTACTTTACACGTGAATGTGTGCCAGAACCCGAGGAGAAAGAGGAGACGCCAGAGGGTCCCCAAGAGGGAGAACCCAACAAGTAAACCATACATCGGGTAATCGTCCATGGTGTCAGGTGCACGACAGAACAGTCCCACTCCTCACCACGTAGACCAACCCGTAGACTCACTGACAGACTCTCTAAGGACCATAGGGTAGAACCCTGTCAGCTATGGTCACTAGCCTAGACCTACTCTAAGGCTGTCACTACTGAACCAATGGCTGATCTGGAGGCATTTAAGGAGATCCCCCAAACTCCACAAGAATTCTTTAACGTCGCAGACAGGACGACGTGATCAGCTTGGTTATGCCTGTGCTTTCAGCCCACAACTCGGCCTTTCCGGCCTACTGTGCCACACCGAGCAGCCCGCTGGTCTGTACCGGTCCTTGGGAAGGTTCGTATCCCCCGGGACAGTCGAGTCGTCAGACACAGATCCTCAGCCTTACTTGGTCTGGTAGGGGAGTGGTTCAAATAGGCCCTCAACACTTAAAGACTGCCTGGTGTGTCAGCCCTAACTGCCGTTCAGGCCCACTGAGTCCTACCAACCGTTTCCAGCCGGTCAGCACCGGTCCTTGGGAGGGTTATGCCCCCCTGGAAAGTTGGATCAGCCACAGTCTCAGGCCTACAAGGTCAGCCTAGGGTTTCGTCATCCAAGCACTATCCTTCATCCACAGAGTGCTATCACCTAGGACAGAAGGGACTCGATGCAGAAAGAAGAGACAGACAAACTCAGACTCAGCAAGTACCGTCGGATGAGTGCACATCCACAGGGTGAGGGGGTAGGGTAGGGGCTTGGCGAGATGTTACCAACTCCAGCTTGGTCAAGGTCTTGGTCAACGGAGCCGGTCAACTCTGGTCAACGCAGCAAGACCCCGTTCAATGCCCTGGTCAACCCTCCGGTCAACTCTCCACCTTGGCTATGGCTGCCGGCACCTTCACCTTCGCCACCCTTGTCTTCTCCTTCCTCCTCCTTTACCTTCTGCTTCCTTTCTCTTTTTTTTTTTTTTTGTCACCCTCGGCTATGTCTGTCTTCTCCTCCGATGTCTCCCCTTCCACACTTCTTCCTCTATCTCTCTCCTCAGTACCTCCTTCTCTGTCCTCCTTCGTCACTCTGCGATACAGCTCCACGGCTATGGCCGCTTTCTCTCTCCTTCGTGGGTCTGCTCAACTCGCTTCATAGGTAAGTGACAACCAAACTTGTATCGCTCATCTCTCTCTCTCTCTCTCTCTCTCTCTCTCTCTCTCTCTCTCTCTCTCT